GTTGAGGTGGGTCGGGCTGACTCATTTTGACAGCTCTAGGTGCGGTGTAGGAAAAACACGTGGTCCACTTAGAGAAGTGAAAATTACACTATAGTACTTATTTTTTAATATTATCTCTAATTTTAATTATAAATAATAAAATAATTTTTTCTTTAGTTTTAATTATAAGTAATAATTATTAGTTTTTAAAGTTATTTAGGGTTAAAAAATTTTTATATCCGTCATTTATTATTAACTCTATTTTCTATACATTTACTTGTAACTAATATTAAATATAAAAATCACATAAGAGGTGTTTGGTACAGAAAATATTTTTACTGAAAATATTAAATCAAAAATCTTATTTTTTTATGTTTGATATCTATTTAAAAAAATTCTCAAGAATATAAATTTTTTGAAAATTATTTTTATCCCACTTTTTCATAAGAACATTTTCATAGGGGTGGGAATCCAATTTTTTGAGTTACGAGAAAACTTTTATTTCTCTTTCTCTTTCTCTCTCCCCCTCTCCCTCTTTCTTAGGCATGATAATCTAACTCACCTCCATGGGTACCCGCCTGAACCCGTCCCGATTTGGACGGAAATAAAATTGGTGTTTATCGGGTTCGGGTTTGGTTCGGGTTCGGGTTTTTCCCCGATTGATTAAATCGGGGGCAGGGACGGGAATGTTAATACATGCCTAGCTTAATAATATAATTAAAAAATTATTTATATATATATAAACCAAAATTAAAAATATTTATATATAAAAATTTGTATTATTTTATTTTTCTTTTATTTTTTTAAATTTGTTCATATTTATTTAAAGAAAAAAAGAAATAAAAAAGGTAGAAGTGGGAGCGGGGGCAGGGTGGGGAAACCCGATCCCCGCCGGGGGCGGGGTGGGGTGGGGACGGGGATGGATACCCAGATTCTACAAGTAACTAAATATATTTTAGTTATTTTCAAGTATTTTAATTTCTAAGATTTATAATTTTTAAGAATCATGATTTTTGAGTATGAAAAAAAATTTCTCATACCAAATGTCACCTTAAAGTAAAGAATATATTTAGAATAAAATTTAAATTTATGATAGAATTAATAAAAATAACCATATTAATTATTTTTCACGGTAGAATTAAGTATTTGTCCTATTTTACTAATAAATTACAGTTAAGTCCTTTTTTTTTTACATGTCTTCTCTTTAAAATAAAAATGTTAGTCTTCTGTTGGTGGCATTGCTTGGACGCAAGTTTACAAGCGTTTGACGTCGGTCGTAAAGTGTTGTGGGTGTTCATGTCACATTCCACAAGCTCTTCTTTCACCTTCACAACTCCATTGATCACGTCATTGGCTCCTCCGCATCTCCGCCGTGCCAGACAATCACACTGGCCAGTATCACTACCAATAACGACCTCATCCTCTACTTTGTATTATTTGATTTCTTTTTTCTTTTTTTATCAAACAACTTGTAAAACCATCTCACTTTTAATTATTTTCTTTTTCTTTCGTTATATTTTTTTGAAAAATGATATATACATCCTCCGAAACTAACCTTCCGAAACAGCTTTTGACTGAGTGTATTATTTAAGAAGTTAAATATAAATAAATATTTAACTGTGCAGATGAATTTTGACTGAGTGTATTATGGTTTCAGATGAATTTTTGCTGCATTTTTTTTTTCTTATCTTTTCAAGACCAAGCATGTCAATATTCCTTCTTATCTAGACAACAAGAGGCCAAACACACTTTTCTTTCTCAAATGTGTGACAAATTCGTGTAGGATTTGTGTAATTGGAATCAGTGAACAACTCTGCCTATGCTCTTGTTTGTTATGAGCACTGCATCGAGCGAATTAATCAATAATATTCAGGTGTAGGACAGTGGCTATGATGTTGATAGTGATTGCATTTTGATTTGATGTGCTGTCATTACCATATTTTGGTGCCGAGTTTAAACTCAAGGACAAGTGCATCCTACAAAATGCCATCTACACCTTCCTCTCATATCTCCACAACGAAGGTTCCTTCGTCTTTCCTTGCAAATTCTATACTTTTTTTTTCTCGAAAATGTGTGCCAAAAAAGTAGCTGATATAATTAAAATGTTACATCTGACATGCATTTGATTATAAATTAATTTTTTAAATTTTTTAATTTTTTTTTTATCTTTATTGGATTGTTCGACATATTTGTTTAGGAGGATATATCAATACTCATGTGTATGCTATTGCTAGGCGGGTAAAATTCTTCCATGTTATACGATCGATTTTCGAGTTCTACTATTCACGTATTAATTTCTAGATATTGCATCTTAAAAATATTTCACAAAAAAAAAAAAAAAAAAAAAAAAAAAAAAAAAAAAAAAAAATAACATTAAGAATTTAAGGTTATTGCATGAAAAATGTTATTATCCATATGCTTCTTTTTACAACTCGAATCTGTGTCGTCACATGTTGATAGATCAGAGTTAGTCAATTGTCACACAACGAGCAGTGGTGTGTCATGAAACGAATACCTAGGCTAGGGCTAGGGAAAATCTCTACGGTACTCTTTTTGACCGACAGTTAATTGGTGTTTGAAGAAACTTATAAAAAAATATATATATATATATGTTTGATTTGGCTGTAATTTCAGACCGGAAAATACTTCATCCTCCGAAAGTTACGAATCGACAAATCTTCCGAACGTTGAAAGTCGCATGAAAATTATATATCTGCAGACTAATTTAATGTAAAAATAAATAAATAAATTTAATAATATATTTTTTTAAAACTTCGGAAGATAAGTAGGTTATATAATTCGGAAGTTCTAGCAGTTCTCTTTGAGACCATTTCGCGGTACAATTTATAATGTTTACGTATAAGCAATTTCTTTTTATAATATTGGTACTAGTACCTATCGTTGAAAGTTGAAACAATGACCAATTTTTATCATAAACTATAAGTGCATATATATAAGATATTTTTCATATTTTTCTTCTGATATATAGACTATTTTATATTTAAAGTGAAGATTTGAACTATAAACAATTTAATAAAAGAAGATAAACTGTTACTATTTATAATAATCAATGTTGGAGTTCTCTTTAAATGTAATGATCAATATGTATTATCTCAATTTTAAGTAATTGAATCAATTTTTATTCAATAAAAAAATCTTATTATTAAGCTGTTTAACATATTAAAAAAAAAAACTTTCTTTTTGATATCTTACATATCTCTCTTACATATACACATAAATGCTAAACATTAACCTATAAGAAATAATTGATTGTTTATATAAATAATTTTTTCAATTTTAAACAACCCAAAAGTCATATATAATACATTAAAATAATATTTTATTGTTAAGTAACCGATGAAAGATATATTTAAAAAACTTTCATTAAAAAAGTTCTCATAACTTATTGTTATGCATCTATTTTTTCTCATCTTATTATTTTATTTTTTTACCAAATTATATAATAATTTATTATTTACTTCTCAATATTTTTTTTTCCACTCATACTCCCAAATTTTAAGATGCACATTTAGTATATTTTTCAAATGACAAAGCAAGTTTCTTAGAAGTACTTTCCTTATATGTGTTAGTACATTTAATTATGCATCTTTCACACAACTTTCATTTTAACTGATAATGCGGTCAGCGACAGTTTTTCAATGAGTGTATTATAAAACTAATGAGCTAGGACGAACAAAGACATAACAAAGGAACAATTGATAATTATTCCATTAATGTTTCAGTCTTTTTCACCCTTTGTGTCATGACAATTGCATATGTGTCTAGCTAATTGACCGTCACTCAAGAACTTATCGTGTCAATTCAATTTTTTTTTTTAATTACATTAGATGATACCAACTAATAACGGATGAACTAAAATGATTGATGATTTACAATTTTACTGGACCAATTTGACCGATCATTACGGTTTTAAAGACTAAATACCATTTTGATAATTTAGGATACAAACCTAACAAAACAATTTCATAAACTTGATTGAGGAATTGGTTATGAAAGAGTATCCATACAAGTACACACAAAAAAAAATTATTTTGTATTAGATAATTTATTTTAAAAAAATTAATTGTTAAATTATTTTTGTATTATATAATTTATTTTTCAAATTATTATAGATAAATCTAGAATTGTTTAATATACTTTAAATATATATATATATATATATATATATATATACATACATAGATACATACATACATACATACATACATACATACATACATACATACTTTTAAAATATATTAAAAAGAATATTTTGATTATAATTTTATTGTTATTTAAGTTTGAAGAAATTTTTCATAAACAATTAATGATTAGATATTAACAAAAATAACATTTTATATATACATTAATTATTGATGTTGAGTGTGTTTAATTAGCTATAGAAAAATAAGTTATTTTCTTACTTGACTAAAAAGTTTGTCTGATAATAAAAGTTTATCTAAGAAGTTTATTATAGAACTTGTAACATTTTTCAAAACAGTGCTTCGTGTAAGTTTTGCGTTCACAATATAGCTCCTAAAAAAATCAATTTCATCTCAGACCTTCTTCACCTTACTGATGCAGAACTAATTCATGTATACATGATCCAGTAGTCTAAAGAGAATAAGTACAAGATCAGATAATTTTAATTGAAAAAAACTTAAGATATTAAACCTAGGTAGATAGTACCTACCCCAAAAAACCTAGGTAGATAATTAGAAGCAAAAAAGTCCCAAATAGTTGACAGATTAATCAATGATACTAAAGAATAATGAAGATAAGTAAATTAAAAAATTGATTCCTGTCTACTAGAGGTAGTTCCACATAGCCGGCTTGTAGAATACTTGTCTTAGCAAACTTCTAAGACTTTCCCACATTCACTTCACTATTATTAGGTAGGTTATGTCTATGTCCTCATTTTGTCTCTTCCTCAAAAACCACCTCCACCCTCTTCTTTCTATAATATATAACACCCTCCCTACATGAGTCTTCATGTTATTATTAATTCCCAAAACAAATTAGTTAAGTCCATATCTATCTATCTCATGGACCTAAACTACCCAGAAGAGAGCTACTCCAAGAGCTCCAGTGAAGAAACTGATGATCCATCATCTGAGCAGAACAATGATGAGACGATAGGAACTGGTAGATCCTACGAGTGCATCTTTTGCAAGAGAGGCTTCACCACAGCACAAGCCTTAGGTGGACACATGAACATACACAGAAAAGAAAGAGCCAACAACAAGAACAAACCCGTTTCAATATTCCCTAATTCTCCTCCTTCGAGTTCAAACAAAGTTGATGGCAACAACAACTATGCAGATCTCGGATTCTTCTCACAATTTCCAAGCCATTCCAGTACTGCACCAAGTATTAAACCTTCTCATGGTGAGTTTTTGTGTGTAGAAAACCAAAGGGGTCATCATGTGTTTGCGCAAGATTGGAGGAAGAGAAATTTGAGCTTGTATAGTAATCCATTGCATTTTCATGAAATTAAAGATAAGCTTGAAGAGAGTGAAGGGGATGGACTAGATTTGGAGCTGAGGCTTGGTCATCATCATCCATAGCATGCAAATATACATATCATCCTTTGTATCCATCAACCATGCATAGATATATCAGATGGGAGCAACTAATTTTGATTATATAATCGTAATGGATTATGTGATCAAATTAATTCCTTTTACTTCACGCGTGAACTTTCCATTTGGATATATATATATTTAGCATGTATGCTTTTCGGGCTCTATCATAAGGAGATTTGTATAGACACAGATGGCAATGAAGAAGCAGAAAGTCAAAGCTTGGGGCTTCTTCTGGCTAGTGAAGTTAAGATGGTTCTTATGAGGAAGGTATTACTAAGAATTTTTCGATCTCATGATGAAAATAATGTCTAATTATGTGAATGTTTGTTTTGGTACTCATTTTTGTTCAGTTTTGGTATGCAGATCCTTGCTTGTTACAATGAAAATTAATTAGGTAAATCCTATTATTTATAAATTGTACTTAATTTTCTAAGAAACCTCTTAACATATAATCCAAAACATATGTGTCCATAATAAAATATATAATTCTGTCATTTTTCGACTGAGCCATCTGCTTTGCATTAATTGTTTGAAGACAGAACCATAACGTAACTGCTCCAGAAGGATGCATGAATACTAGCTCACTAAATCCATATAGAAGGAAACATTTATTCTTCACTTACGTTATTAATTTCCTCAGATATAATATTGACTAGGGTTGGTTGCATATCGTGAAATTAATTTTAATTTCTTTGTTGTTTTTGGTGACATAATTTTCTTTGTTTACGTGGTATCGAAGCAATAAGCAAAATGATTTACCTTGATTCGTCTACCTGAAGTGTAAATTTACAGCATGCAAAAAGTGTCGGTGATCTTGTTGATCAATAGGAAAAAAAAAACTTCTGTAATTCTTCAAATGTCAATACTATTATCTAATCAAAATTGAATTTTTATTTATTTATATTGATATTTACTATAAATTTGTATTATGCAAGTATTATATATCAAGATAAAATCTAATAATAATCCTGACTCAAAAATAATACTAAAAGCACATATGACACCGTATCTAAATTTTTTTGTTGCATATAAAATACAATAATCTGCAGAACAACATCGAATACATCCAGAAAAACATGGCTTTTTTTTCTTTCGGGCCGGGGGTAAAGGAGAACTGCTTATGTGGTTTATAAAATTCTTGCAGGAAAATAATTTCCATGTTACATATATAACGGAATCATTTTCTGTAAATGTATTTTAAAAATTTTCAATTATCTTTTTCTTTTCTCATTTAGATTTTCTTAATTTGATCCATTTTTATATATCAGAGTATCTGCAATTGTTTTTGGTAATTTGCATCTTCTATTTGACAGAGATTTTTCTTTTTTCATCCACTATGGAATTGTTTATATTATAGCATGAATCTTGTCGAGCATTAATGAAGAAAAGCTTCCTATATACAGATAGTAACTCAACCTAGCTACATCTATTTTTCCTTGTCAAAATTTACCCCATTTTCTGTTTGGAGGAAAAACCCCATAAATAATAAAGATTAAAGATACGAACAAACTTAAATATACTATAAGAAAACATAATATTTAGGCAATTTGGTAACTTTTATGTGTGTACAGGAAAACGTTTCAATAAAGTGCTTATTATCTCAAACAAAATTGTAAGTTTAATAATTTATCCTATAAATTGTCTATCTTCCAAAAAAATCTAAGTCCACTCAAGGGTTGTAAATAACAATAAATACTCTCTTAAAAGAAACACTTTCACTGCAAATGATCACACACTTGTTTTCCTCCCTTACTCTTGAATGTCAAGATTTTGGTATGTCTAAACATTTCATAAAATCCCTTTATATGATAGTTGGTCTGATTTCTTTAAAGAATAAATAAGTGGATATTAAATATGTCACCCTTCTAAATTTAAAGCAATTGAAAATTGTCACTACTCATTGATGATAAATTAAATACAGAATTTTCACAAGTCAAATATTAATTTTCAATGATCTACAATGTATTACAATCCCACTTCAATTAATATTTTAGAAATTTGAATTTATTTTCCTAACAAATTTGATTTGGTATTGCTTTCGGGTGTACTCCTATAACTTTCTTACTTGATTTTTATTTTTATACTTTCTAACATTTAATTTAGAGAAACTCGTTGTTTTTTCCTCCTTTCTCTTTCCTTGACAAGTAATTTAGAGAAATTGAATTTGTACTTTTTCTAAAACAAACAGGTAGAAAATAGATAGTGAAAGATAGAGAAAAATGTGTTATTAAAATATTATAAAAAATTCATGCTAGCAATTTAAAATTTTAATAAGTGTAAAGGAATGTAAAACATAAATTATGTAAAAGTAAATTTAAAAAAAAAAACCTTTATTCAGATACCAACACTCTTTTTGCACTCATGTACACACAATGATCTAAAATAAATCTTTTAATTTCTTCAGATAAATTGTAAATTACACATCCCTATAGACTTTCCTCAACGGAAACAACGATAATAATAGCTTTTCTTTAATATTTCTGTTTGTAAATATTATGTTTAAGCAACATTTTGTAATCATGAACATGTACCTTCTAACGAATTAGAACTACAAAGTAAGTTAAATTTGAGTCCTCTCTTGTTATTAACTAATCATGACATGGATGAGATATTTTTATTTATTGTCCATATTTATTATTTATGATAAAATTTAAGCAGCCTTTTGTACCAAAATGATTTAATCTAATTTAGTATTTTTATTTGTGTCTTTTTTTATTTCTAACATATGTGTGATATCTATGAGACGATTCAATTTGATACATGAACTTCATTAAACTTCCTATAATTAGCTCATGAACTTCAATATGTCAACACCATAGCAGATTTGAGATAGTAATCAAAGCTATTCCATGCTAAGTTTTACATTCTAGCAAATTCTTACTAGTACTTTTTGTACATTTTGTTCTAGCATTTAACTTGTATAAAATTTTAAGCAAATTTCACCAAAAAACAATTACCGTAATATAATCAATTCTTTGATATATATTTTTTATAATGAGTAAAATCTTGCGGCATACACAATCCTTATTTGCACAATATTGAGAGAAAAAGTTTAAAAGAGATGTCTTTTATGTATGATTTGCACTCAACTTTTGGTACTCTTTTTGGTAATTGTAGATATTATATATGTTATTTTACCCCTCTTTATTTAAAGAATCAAGTTATACTAAAAGAGTAGAGGAGTAGTAGCAAAATCTTAAGGAATTTCTTCATTTTTTGTAAGTTTTTTAGGAAGGCAGAGATCCACAGCCATAGCTGTGGATCTGGAGCTCGAGCTGTGGAAATCTGGGAAGAAATTGTGAAGGTCAGAAACTTGCAGCTATAGCTGTGGTTCTGCAGCTATAGCTGTGGAAATCTGAAATGCTCATTTTTTGGTTCTAGAGACTTGAAGCTATAGCTGTGGACCTGGAACTCGAGCTGTGAAAATCTGAAATACAATTTGAAGCTCCAGAGAGTTGAAGCTAAAGTTGTGAACTCAAAGCTAAAGCCATGGAGCACTCAGGACCTAGCAAAAACTCCAGAGATCCACAGCCATAGTTGTGGCTTCACAGTTGCAGCGCTGGAGGTTCCTTAAGCTTGAAGGAGTTGCCACAGCTATAGCTGTGAAACCACAGCTGCAGCTTTGGAGGTTTCTTCACTCTGAAGGACTCTCCACAGCCATAGCCGTGGATCTACAGCTGCAGCCGTGGGAGGAAAAATCACTCTTTGCCCCTGTTTTAAAGCTCATATAAAAGGGGAAAAGTGAAGAAACAGGGCATCACGTACCAAAGGGAGAAAAACATAGAGAAGAGCACGTGAAGAGGAAAGAACGAAGGGAGAACAAAGATTTGGAAGCTGAATCTTTTGAGAACGAAGATCAACTCCATTTCTTCATCCTTTACTTTGTAATTTCTTCTTTTCACTCTTTGATCCTGTAATGGTCATGTGTGGCTAAACTCCTTAAGGATTGGTTAGATGTAACTACTAACTCTTCTTCTTCTTAAATATATGCATTTTGATCTCATTATTTGTGCTTGATTCTTCCCTTAATGCTTATATCGGCTTGATCACCCGTTGTATGATTTTTGGCTTTTGAATCCAGTTGAAAAACGTTTTCGAAAACCCGAACTGAATCTTGCACCTAATCATTTCTTGTTCTAGGAATAGACTTGATTTGGTTAGTCACATTGTTCAAGTCTTTGTTCTTAATGCGAAGTGTTAAACTTAAAACATAGAGGAATCATGTTTTGAGCTTAATGACTTTAGGATTCAACCTTGAGGAATCTTGTTGGATTACTTAATGAACGTGGAAATAATGAAATTAGAATCGCATTTATTTTAAGAAGATTTACGAGTTAGCAAGTACTTCTGAACCAATCCTTGTTTCTTAATCATTGTCTTTACTACGTTTATTTTATTGTGTTGTTCTAATCTGTTTTCACTCATCTGCAATTTTAACATCATTCTCTTTTAAATCATTAGAGCAAGAATTACTAAACATTCAAATCCCTGAGGACGATATTTGAATACTACTTCGAAACTTGGTTCACTTGCCAAGTGGTGGGTTTGCGAAAAGCCTTCATCATTCCATAAATATTTAGAGTTGTTAAAGTAGATTAAAATTTGTGAGTTAACATGACTCATCATAGATTTGAGCTAAATTGAGCCAAAAATTTTTTATCTATTTCAATTATAAAGAAAATTTGGCCTGACTCATCATGAGTCAATCCGTGGAAAGTTGGGTTAACTCACCTAATATACTTTACTTTATTTTATTTTTTAGGTTTTCAAATGTTAATTTGTGTGACTATACATTTGTATCATTAATTAAATTTTATACAAACTAGTTGTAAATCATGATAATTCGTATCAATTTGATATTATTTGTCAATATTTTATACAACAACTTTGATTTTATAAGTTGATTAAGTTGGTTGTGAATGATGTTTAATTCTTTTTTGACATTTTATTTGTCCTCTTTGTTACATATTTATAATTCTAAAATATAAAATTATAATATGTATTATTTTTTATAAAGTTCAATAACTTTTTTGTTTTTAATATTTTTTTAATTTAAATGAGTCAATCCATTTAACTCATTAACCCGTAGTGAGTTAAAACAGGTTAATTTTTTTTAAGCTCATTTAAAAGTGAATTGGATTGAATTGGTCCACCTATTATCTAACCTGTGATGAGTCAAATCATGACTGAATTATTCACTCTGACAATTCTATTTTTCTGATATGCAACATAATAATAGGCAGAGAAAATTACATTGAGGTTTGTAGATAAACACTGATATTTTCATCCTACACTAACTCTAATTATTTAAAAAATATGTTACTCGTGACATTTAAAC